CAATGGCAAAGCATACGGACACCGCCGTCCCCAAAATGCCTTCTGCTAAGCCAACGTACGACCGGACTTCCAAGTCTGTAAAATAATAAAAGAAATGAATTAACTTAATAATAGGTGAATAAAGATATACAAACAAATATATTACGATAAATAGAAAGTAAATGAAAGAGGCTGTGAGTGTATGATTACAAGAAAAACACTAATTAATTAATGAACAATATAAATCAATTTAGTGGAATATAGAATCGGTATTTAGTTGTTGTTGCTGTTGATTTCAAAACTCTACCTATACCAGTTTCTTAAAATCCGGTGAATTTCCCCCAACTAGCATTATCAGGTTAAACGAAACAAGATCAAAGGGGAGGGGAGGGGTAGGAATGGAATTGAAAAGTGAAGATGAAGTGGGAATGGGAATTGGAACTGGAGGTGGAATTCAGGAATAGAGAGACAGAGGTGGAACAGGCGTAGTTTGATATGGAGGTGGAGATAGTAGTGTCCCTAAAACTACAGGTGGAAAGGGGAAGGTTAGGCCAAAGTGGAGTTAACGTTGAGGACTTAGACAGAGGTGGAGATGGAGGTGGAGGCGAAGACGAAAGCAAAAGAGCAGGATGAGGCACAGGTGGAGGTAAGGGTGGAGTCGAGGAAAAAAAATAGCCCATTCAAATAGGTTACCTTCATGTCTGCAAATGGAGACGTTGTTGGCGCATTCATTATTCACTTCGTAAACCTTCCATGCAAAAAAGCCTTCTGTACCCAGGGATCCTAGCTGTGGATTGAAAAAAAAACTTATTTTAAAATGGGAAGTGAACGGCGAATTAGTGACAATATAAATGGATGAATTAAGAATTCATATCATCATAAGCAAACATGTGTCGTGCCAGGTATGACATGGAATTCAAAAGAAAATTAAATAAGGGATATTTGGAAAAGGGATGGTGCGTGACCGTACGTGAATATAAATGTGGTATTAACACATCGACACTTAAACCGTTTACATTGATGATGCCATAGTAAGTGCAGTGTACATTTTCTTTGTGTTGGTCTGCGTATATGCATGTAAATATCCATACACAAAGGACGTATATCTGTGCGTTATCTTTCTCTTTACTTTTCCCCTTCTCTTTCTCTTTCTTTTTTTCTCTCTGTCTCTCTCTTTCTCTCTCTCTCTCTCTCTCTCTCTCTCTCTCTCTCTCTCTCTCTCTCTCTCTATATATATATATATATATATATATATATATATATATATATATATATATATATATATATTTAGTTATTATCATGATTAGTATAATTTTATTGGTGAAAAATGAGTGTATGAAAATGAATAACTTAACAGTGCAAGAAATGTAACTGAGGCGTTTCGATGACATGAACTCAACATTCACCTTGCATCCACTGCCTGTCCCTCGATACCTGCATAAATGTTGCTGCGACCTTGGATAATTTGAATCTGCTCTATTCAGTGTTTACATTCTCCTCCGTCGCAATGTATACAGCTTTTTTTTCTTCTTCTTTTTTTAATCAATAACGGACCATTTATGCTCGCTTCATATTCGTTCAACACCATGGCGTTAATTCTTCTTTTATTGTGGCAGAAGTCAGCTCGATGCTCGTTGACCCTGGTGCCGAAACCACGTCGTGTTTGATAATAATAAACTTTATCTCATTTTCTGCCTGGAAGTGTAATAAAACTGTCCGGGTTATTTGTCGATGGATTTGTAGATCGCATGAAATCAGTTATTTCTTCATCGTATCTACTGGCGATTTTTATTGTTATAATACTGGCTGACCGCCTCGGAGATGTTATATATGGTAGCATGAAGAATTTTGACGTAGGTACAGGCTCGGATAATGCTTTTGTTATTTAAGTTCTTTTTCTACTGAGGTCCATGAGATAGCCTCATAGATACTGATGTTTCATCACTTGAATTGATTATCTAATCGACGTCAGCTTTAACGAATTCGGGACTGCAAATTGTCAAAAACCAGTTACGACCCAGGCTTCAGGTGTATTTCCGTCACCCCGACGAATCAGCTGAGACAGGTACGACCATCTTCCTCCTCCACGGTAAATTGGATTTTCTCGTGGATGGCGTTTATTTGCGTGTGATATAAACACGATCTTCTGGGAATGATACCGTGAACACCATCTACACAGTATAGTTAAGCAGAATGCCTGTATATAATTCCTTTTCAACGTCTCCATAAAGAGGCAGGCCCCAAACTGCGCTGGTGAAGCTTTGACTGTTTTGTTTGTGATTATTATTATTAATATTATTGTGATTATTGTCATTTTTGTTGTTTATGTTGCATATGTTGTTTTTTCGTTTTTATTGTCATTGATATCAATGTTATGATATAGTTATTGCTGTTATCATTACTCTTGTTATTGATATGATAATTACTGTAGTATCAATACGGTTATCACTGACACCAATCACTGCTTTCTATTATATTACTCGCGTTGTCATACATAAGTTGGTGGTTACGTTTTAGGTTT